GGCGGCGGCAGCGGGGCCTGGAGCCGGACCTAAGATGGCAGCGGCGGCAGCGGCGGCGGTGGGGCCGGGAGCGGGGAGCGCGGGGGTGGCGGGCCCGGGCGGCGCGGGGCCCTGCGCGACAGTGTCGGTGTTCCCCGGCGCCCGCCTCCTCACTATCGGCGACGCGAACGGCGAGATCCAGCGGCACGCGGAGCAGCAGGCGCTGCGCCTGGAGGTGCGCGCCGGGCCGGACGCGGCGGGCATCGCCCTCTACAGCCGTGAGTGCTCGGGGACACCCCGGGGACGGCGGCCCACGAGGCCGGCAGCGCGGGCGCCCTGGGCGGGGGGGTGTGCGGCGGGGGGGATGACTCGGGCCGAGCTTGTGCACGAGGCTCCGGCTGCCGGCGGGCGAGATCGCAGGGAAGGGTGTGCACGCGAGCGGAGGAGCCCCGAGAGGGGCGCGGGAAACTGAGTCGCGGGCCTGAGATTTGCGGCCTGGGGGGAGGGGGGGCGCGTGGCAGGAAGTGGGGTCCCGAGGATTCTGGGGGGAATGCGGAGGGGACTGGGGGAGGGAGCGATCGGGGAGGCTCTTGAGCGGGTGTGGTTTTAGGATCTCATCTTAGGGGACATCCTCCACACACACACACGGACACGGACATTTGGAAAGTGGCTTTCAGTGTGGAGCACCGGGAAGACTGGGTGCCGCCCTTGTGGAGGAGGACTTGGGATTCGGGATCCCCCACCCACCCAGCTCGATGGGTAAACTTTAGAACTGGGGACAGAGATCGGGAGAGAGAGAGAGATTTCCCACCCCCATCCCCCATGGAAACGTGGAAGAGGGGAGGGCCGGCTTGCTGATGGCCGGCCGGCTTTAGAAGTCCAGAGGTAACACGCCACCTCCCTCGACACGCGCCTCCTGCCTTTTTTGAGGACTTGAGAAGCTGGTGACATTATCAGAAACTGCTTCAAAAGCTGACGTTTCAGTGGGGGAAATAAGGGGGAATGCCTCCCCTCCGAGCTCTTGGAGTTCCACCTTTTATTCTTTCTCTTGTTACTCTTTCTTCTGGCGGATTCCTCAGTGGCATTTTGCTATTCTGTTTCATTGGTCTTTGTCTCCCAGGGTTTCGTTCACTGTTGCTCTTAAGGGGCCACCAAGGAAGACTGGATTGGTTTTGGCCTGTGGAATTTTTTCTCCCTCCCTGGTAATGGGGTGTTGGGAAGGGACATGTGTGTAGCCGTCTGTTCAGATGGCTTCTCCTCTCTTTGCCTTGACTTTGAAAACACTGGAGTGTGTCTGGTGCCCAAGTGTGGGCTATCTTTGGGGGCTTGCGCAGAGCTGGGGTCTACTTGACCACAGGAGGAAAGGGGGAATTTCACAGATTGGGAGTACAGGACTGGTTAAGAAAGAAGCTCTTCAGGATCCCAGACCCCTAAGCAAGCCACTTTGGCAAGCCAGGGTACCAGGGCTTACCTTGAAAATGCTTCTGGGAAACTGGGTGTGGTGGTGTAAGCCTGTGGGACCAACACTTTGTAGGCTGAAGCAGGAGAATTCAGAGTTTGAGTACAGCTTGGGCAACATGGGCAAATGCTGTCTCAATCACTAAGGCAAAGTTCTGGATGGCTTAGGTAGTTTACATGAACCTGACAGAAGCACTGTTCTTTATAGACTTCATTTACAAAATTGTTAGTTCCCACATAATTCCCCAAACCAAGCTTCCTCTGTTAGTTCATTTTATTATAGAAGAGTCTTAACAGTTTGTGTTCTTGTTCTGCTGTAATTACCTAAGTGGGCTGGGCACCCAGCATGGGTGAGGATGTAGGTTCTGTTCCCAACAGTGATATAAAAATAAATAAGATATTCATGGATTGGGGATATAGGTATAACATACTTATATGTTATGAGTTAGAACATATACCTAGCAAGTTCGAGGCTTCAGATTAGACCCCCAGTAACATCAGAACCCAAAAACCAATCCTGAATCACCAGGTGTGGTGGTGCAGGCCTCTATCGCAGCGTTTGGGAGACTGAAGCAGGGGAAGGTTGCTGTTTTTGTCGTTTCGTTTTGTCTTTTTGACAGGGCCTTTCAATGTAGTCCTGGCTATCCTGGAGCTAGTTATGTAGACCAGGCTGGCCTCACAGATATATTTCTTCCTATACCTCCCAGGTGCTGGGATTAAAGGTATAATCTTCCTTGCCTGGGTGAAGGAGCTCAGTTTAAGAGCAGCATGGCTATGGAGTGAGCTCGTCCTCAGAAAGGAGAGTGGTTATATATACCTCTAACCCCAGGGCGTGTGAGGTCAACAAAAGAGGAGCAGAGGTTCAAGCCAGCCTGTGCCAACTGAGAGTCTCTGATTCTCTTCTTCCCCCAAATCATGACAGTTTTGAAAGTTATACAGAATTACATATACATATGTATATATGCATGTTTATACACTATTTATAAATGAAATGATGTTGAAAGTTCATGTTTCTTAAAATTCTTAGTCCCAGATATATTCTCAGAGCCAAAAAGAATTTTCACTTCTAGGCCAGTGGTTCTCAACCTTCCTTTAATACAGTTGTGGTGACCCCAACCATAAAATTAATTGCTACTTCATAAGGGTGATTTTGTTACTGTTACAAATTGTAGCAGCAGTGGTGGTGCTCCCAGCACTTGGGAGGCTGCGGCAGGTAAATCTTTGAGTGTGAGGCCAGCCTGGTCTACAGAGTGAGTTCCAGGACAGCCAGGGTACACAGAGAAACCATGTCTTGAACCCCGTACCACCCCCCTCAAAAAAAAAAAAAAAAAAAACAAAACCAAAAACAAATTGTAATGTAAAATATTTCATATACAGGATATCTGTTATGTGACCCCCAAAGGGGTCTTGACTCACAGTTTGAGAACTACTGCTCTAGGCTAAAGTGACATTGGGGTGAAGATTCTCCCATTTTTTACTACATTTCTTTCTTTCCTTTATTTATTTATTTTATTTTACTTTTTCTGTTTCTCTGGGTAGCCTCTGCCCCTGAGTGCTGGGATTACAGGCAGGAGTCACCATGCCTGGTTTATT